GATAAGCCTACGGGAATACATATGTAAACGACTCATAGAGTTTTGAGATATTTGAAGAATGCTTCAAGTCAAGGTTTATTATTTTTTTATAGATTTAATGATCCATTTAAAGGCTTACTTAGATTGTGATTGGGTCTGGCTACCAAGAGATAAGGAAATCAATGACAAGATATTGCATTTTCTTAGGCAATTCATTAGTTAGTTAGAAATCAAAGAAGCAATCATTGGCGGTTAGAAATTCAATAGAGGCGGAGTACGGATCAATCACTTTCACAACTTGTGAGATTGTACGGCTATTGTCTCTATTGTCGGACTTCAATATTTAAGCATGCAACATACAATCTTGTACTATGATGATATGTCGGCATTACATATTTGCAAGAACCTAATGTTTCATAAAAGAACAAAACACATAGAGATTGATTGTCACTTTATAAAAGAAAAAGTCCCGACAGCGAGTCATCAAACCGAATATATCTCTCGCATAATTACAAATTGTAGATATCCTTATAAAAAGTTTGCATCTAGGGGTAGTTCAAGTTCCTTATAAACAAGATGAACACCATCAATATCTTTTTAGCTACTCATCTTGAGGGAGAATGTGAAAAGAAAGAGGATAACTAAATAATTAATAGTTAGTTTAGCTTAACCGAATGTAAAAGTTAGTTAGTTAGCTTAACTAATAGTTAGTTAATTAAGTTAGTTAGTTTAGTTTGTTAAGCTTAGTATATGAACAAACTTATGTACTCTTTGTGTAACTAACAAGAAAGAACGAAAAATCACATTTTTTCTCTTCACATTTTCTTTTTAGTTCATCTCTTTCTACTCTTTTAAAAATATATTTGGATATTTTTTTTTTGATTTTCTATGGATTTTTTTCTTCTCATCATGACGAACATATTGGAAAACACCCTTGTTTGTAACTCAATTGTAACTCAATGAACCTTTTTTTTTTTTCTTTTTTTTACAAAATGGCTCTCCAATATCTTTCAAATTTCAACCTTGCATTTTTTTTTTCGAGCAACTCAACTTTTCATAAACACATTTTCTAGTTTTTTATTTTTCAACATCTCGAAAAACAACTATAATTTGGACACTTTTTGTAGTTTTTCAATTTAGAATATATTCTAGTTAAAGAAATAAACATGTTTTTTTATATTTTTTTTATTGAACACTGAAAAGTAAAAATAAAGTAGAAAATTAGAGTTAGAGAATAAATAAACTTCTCTCGTTTTATCCTCTCATTTTAATATGATTAATTTGGTTTTAATGGTAGTAGTAAAATTTGTTTTCATCATTAAACAAATGATAAATATTTTAAGTTATCTTTATGTAATTGGATAATTCTATAATATGTCTTTGCATATTTAATTGTATTTATTATATTCTTGAATAATTTTTATTTCTTTAATATTTTCGATCAATTTTTTTTATTCAAATTCATAAAATTATATTTTTTATTTCAAAATTGTCCTTAAACTATATAAGTATGCAATTGAATTTTTTTCCCTCAAAATTACTCAAAATATTTTAAAAGCTAAAGTTTTTTAAATTACTTAACCATTAAAATTTTTTAAAATAAAGATTTTATTTGAAAAAAATAAAAATTATATCCTTATATAGCTAAAGGGCATTAGAATGGAAAAATATAATTATGTCAATTTTGGATTAAAAAAAAAAAGACTTGACATTGGTACATAATTGAGAATTGGATATTATATAAGGACATTATAGATAAAATTGGAAACATATATACATATTAGATATTTGATCAATTATTTTTATAAGGATAAATTAAGTGATTTATCCTTAAACTAATTCCAATATTCTACCATATACTTTTTTATATATTCTTTTATTTTACTGGTTTATTTGTTATATATATAATAAGACAATTTAATATGAATATGAGGATACTATTCAAACAAATCCGAACGGATTTTTCTATATCCAGTTATTATTTCAGATTGGATATAAATATTCAATGAATAGAATATCGATGTTGTCAAATCCGACTCATAATCCCACTCAAACTCAATCCAATACACAATCACATGTAAAATATTTATAATTTTTTCATTAAATATAATAATATATACATATCCTAATATTAACATTACACAAACACAAATATATATATATATATATATATATATATATATATATATATATATATATATATATATATATATTATCATTAATTTCATGGGTTTAGTAAAGCCAGATTTATGGCATAGTCTGATTTTCTTCTTTAAAGGACATCTTGTATTTTTAATATAGAAAACATTAATGGTGTGTGGTTAGACAATATATATATAGGTTAGTTTTTGAAATAAGAGGACTAATTAATTTATTTTTTGAAACTCAAGGGATTAATTCGTAATTTACTCGTCTAAATTATTGCCCAAAATAGGTAAATGTAACCAAATTTCTAGTCCTAAGTTTAATTTCGAAGGATGGATTCACACCACATGGTCCTAATAATTGACAAAGCAAGTGCTTGCCTATATAAGCATCACATCAGTGATTGAATGGAGAATAACTTGTTGAAATTGAATTCCACATAGCGAGTGCACTTTTTGTTAGGCCAACTCAGTCCAATTAATTATTATAAGTTACAAATTGGTGTGTTAAATAGACTGATCAGTCATAGGATATATCAGAAAACATTCTAAAATTAAATGATTGAACCTTCATATGAACGGGGTGGAATGTTTAGCAATTAGAGATTAGTGTCAATTGTTAGTATTATAGACTAATTTAACTACTATAAAAAGTTGAGGGACCATATTGCTATCTCAAAATTTGGGCTTTTGAGCAGGGCAAAATCTATCTATGGGATATTCAAACTTGGGATTTCCAACTGGTTCTTTTCGTTTTAGAAATAAAAAGTATTTTTTAACGAGTTTTTGTATAAAAAAAAACTATATTTTTTTCGAGTTGATTTTTAAAAAAATCATCCACTTTTACAAAAAAAATATTTTCTAGCAGCGCATGCTCTAAAATTAAGATGTTGTTTAGTAATCAAGAATAGAGTGGTGAGAATGAGAATGAAAGTTTTATTCTCACATTGTAAGTTGTTTGATTAAAAGAAATGAAGTGAGAATGGAATTGAAGAGTGAAAATAAGAATAAAAATTTACACACAATTTCATTCCTACATAAGATATGGGAATAAAAATAAGGAATGAGAATGAAATTTTTTTTTCAAAATAATAATATATTTTATTTATTTATTATCTATTAACTACTTTTATCACCACTACCACCACTACCACCACCAACACAACCACCACCACCAACACAACCACCACCACTACCACCACCATCATCTCCACTACCATTACCACCACAAGCACCATTACCATTACCACTACCCCTATCACCATAACTAGAAATACCACTTGTCATAACCATTATCATCATTTTTATTATTTTTACGAGTCATTATAATTTGATAAAATTATTTTTTTAATCATTATTTTTATTTGTATAAAAACAGATATTAAAAATTTTAAATTACATTCTAATTTCTTGTTAGTATTTCAAATAGAGTATAGTAATATAAATATCATTCCGATTTCTTGATTTTTATTTCAATTTCTGTATTTTAATTCTTAACATTCTATTCTATTATCAAACAACAATTAAAGGTTTTGTTGAGAACACGGAGCTACGAAACAGATGGTTGACATCACATCAAATGTTGTTGGAAGTATATAACATGAGTGGAGACAACGTTGGAAGTATATAACGTGAGTGAAGACAGCGGTGAGAATACGATTTTCGATTTTGATTTTTAACATTTTAGTTCAATTTTTTTTGTTAATCAAACTTATTTAAAAAAAAAAACGATTTAAATCCAATTACTATTCTGTTTTTTGGTTTTTGGAATCGAAATTTCAATCTTTGAGTTCAGTTTTTAATTAAAACCGAATTTCTTTTTCTGATTTTTAATTTTTTTAAAAAAATTCTAAAATAATATAAATAAACCAAAAACATTATGTTATGAATTATGGAGTCATTCTTCTAATTCAAATAGCTTAAATTAGTCTATATAAAAAATAATAAAATTTATTTAAATAAAAGTAAAGCACAAAATCATACTACATAATAAAATATTAAAATTAAAATTTATTATATACATTTATTAATTTACATATAAAATATGTAACGATAACAAATAATTAATTGTTCAAATGTACCGTAAACCAAAGTACCAAATTATAAAAGTTCAAACATGTTCTAAAAAAAAATTTCGATTTTGAATAAAAAATCGAACCAAAAATTTCAAAAACCGAACTAAAACTATAAAACTAAAATAAATTTAGCTATTTATTTATTTATTTATTTTGAATTATAAATCAAATAGAAATTAATAATTGGATTCGATTTTATTTTTTAGATTTAAACGGAGCACTGCTGACCTCTAAATAGGGAATTTTACATGTAGGAAGCTCATCACAGCATGGAAAAGACGTAGTGGGGAAAGAGTTTGGTTAAAAGAATATGGGATACTTGTATCTATAATTCAACTTTTGGGTATTGGAATTGATCGAGTCTATCTCAACTAAGGTCCCGATGGTGTTGCGCCTTACGGGTAATCGAGTGCCAAGGTTACGATTGCAAGCAAGAATTGTGCCTAAAGATATTCTATTGGCGAGAAATTTATCAACAACTAGTTGGAAAACAGGTTTCTCTAATATTTTCCAGTAAAATGAATTTTTCCGGACAAAAGAGTCTTCATCACATTTGATTTTATTTGACTTGAATCATATGAATATACCTTAAAGAAGGAAAAAAAGAAAAAGAAAAGTGAAGGATCTGGTTTTTTTTTTGGTATAAAGAAAATGCATGAACTGAAACTGGAGATAATTGTGTTTTAACGGCTAGCAGCATAATAAAATATATCAGCAATATTATTAAAACTTGGAAATTATTAATCTTGCGAATCGGATATATAGTTGAAAGTAAATAGAGGGATAGACCCCCAAGTTGAAATCAATTGGCAGATGCCACAGCTTTCTTATAAGTGTACCATCTGGCAACCAAAAGATAGGCCCCCAAGTTGATCACACTCAACACAGCCAAAAGCCAGAAAAAATAATGAAGATGACCATAATTCAAATTGTCCGGTATCCAACCAGGCCTACCATGGCTAGTGCTCAAATCTGTGACAATATTAACTAGGAATGTACTCAAGTAGTTCCCAAGTGCAGCAGTTGTAAGTGAGAGAGCTGAGCACAGGCTCCTCATGGCATCAGGCGCCTGGTCATAGAAGAACTCTAATTGCCCAATAAATGTGAAAACTTCTGCACATCCTATAATGAAATACTGAGGCACCTGCCAAAATATGGACATTGGTATGTGCTTTAGCTCATAGTAGTTATGTTTCCTGACCTCGCGGAGTCTCACAAGCTCTAAAGTTCCAGCAACCAACATGGCAAAGATGGAGATTACAAGGCCAATTGCAATTCTTTGAAGCTGTGTGAATCCATTTTTATGGCCAGTGAATCTTCTTGCAAATGGAACGATGACACAGTCGTAAATTGGTACCCAGAAGATGACACTCATTGTGTCAAAGAGGGAGAGTGAAGCAGAAGGGATTTCGAAAGATTTGCCCATGTGAAGGTCCATTGTGTTCCCTTGCAGGACAAATAAGGTTCCCATTTGACTGTATACAGCAGAGAATATTATGCCAGTTGACCATACAGGAAGCAACCGAATGATGGACTTGAGCTCCTCCACCTGAGTCACGGTGCACAGTCTCCACTGATTCGCGGAGCCCTTTACACGGTCGGATGGAGTCTCCACGGCTGCCTTGTCAAAGAAACTAGGTCAAGAAGGAAAATTCATTAGCAGAGTTCAAATTGTAATGCAGCTGTGCGGTGAACTAGTTGTACTGTTGTATTCTATACCTTAAATGATCTGTGTGTTCAAGTTTGCGGCTTCCTATGACGGCAGATTCATGTTCTGCTGTCTCAAACAGAAAAGACTTGTCATTAGGCACTTTGACTCCGAATTTCCTGAAGGATGCAACTAGCACTTGGCAAATGCGCGTTAGCGGACTCCTCCAGGTCTCTGGTTCCTGTATAACCGGGTACCTGAAAAGAAACTAACAACAGCAATTGCCATTGCCACTGCTGGGATGCCAAAGCCCCAACCCCAACCTACATTGGTTTGTATCCAAACAAGCACCGTAGCAGCAATAAGGGCACCGATGTTAATTGAAAAATAGAACCAGTTGAAGAAAGAACTCTTCTTTTTCTTCTCATCCTCGTCAGAGTCATCGAATTGATCCGCACCAAAGGAAGAGACACAAGGCTTAATCCCTCCAGTCCCCAGAGCTATAAGGTATAGGCCTAGAAAGAAAACTGATGTTTGCAACCCTGTTGGATGGCAAATATTCTTATTGTCACAAGATGGTTTTAGTCCTTGGATCGATGCTGACAATGTCAACAATGTCATTCCCTGAAGCAAATTAGAAGTTTTGGGTAGATTAAAACAAGAAAACGATATGGTTAAGTTCACCAACATGGTTTTAAAAATAGCTTGATGACAGAACTTACAAAGACATAGATTATAGAGAAACTAGCAATTGTCCAATATCGTCCCAAGTAGGCATCAGCCATAAAAGCTCCAAGCAATGGCATGACATAGCATGTGCCTGACCAGTTTGTGACATTATTGACTGCCACAACATTGCGCTGGTTTAGTTGAAATTTGAGGAAATTAACTAGATTTGTGTTGATTCCATAGTATGCCAATCTTTCACAACATTCATTTCCTGCAGGCAAGTCAAAATGGGCAGGTAAGCCAATCACAAAAAGAGAGACGGGCGTAGAACTAACTAGCTAGCTAGCAAGCATCAGAAAGGTCTAAAAGAGTTGCCTAAAATATAAGGGCAGGCTTTCCAAGTTCCTGTTTTCTTCTTGATTGCAGGGTTTCCACGGCAATCTGTTGTTCCATCTTTGGTACAGCAATCTTCTGCCATGGTTGCCGATGAACCACTGTGCACTCAATATGTTTGGTTCACCACCTCTGTAACTTTGCCCATATTTCTTCTCGATGCCTGAAATGACCAATCCAGATCATACTCTTAAGTACAGAACTAAATTTAGATACGATAACACAGCAGGTAATGGCTACCAAATGTAGAAGTGGATATTAATATTCATCATTCTAGCAACCTCACCTCACTTTAAATAATTTTGGTTGGTTCTTGCAAGGAAAAATATTTTGCATCCGAAAACTTGAATTTCTAACTAAATTACTAGCATTTTAAGAAATTCAAGCCCAAACTGCCTTAAATTGCTGAACTTTCTGAGTTTCAAGCTGACAAACATTTTGCCCATCTTTAAATTTTGGCACACAATTCGATCCAAACCATAATTGCATAGGTGAAGCATTGTCATTGTCTCCTCTAGGCAATGATGAAGCTTTGTTATCTAGATAACATAGACTTTAAGAGAGTTAAATGCCTCAAAACTCATTCTTCATTGATAAAACATGTCATGTGGACCTTCCACGTGTAGTGTTATTGTTTCTGCAGGCACACTTCCTTAGAAAGAAAAAAAAATTGTGCTATTACTTTTTTTTGTTTACAAAAAACGGATTTATGACTATGATGACTATATATATATATATTGTAAGAAATATTATGCATTTAACATTTATAGGTATTTAGGAAATACTAATTGGTTATATAGTAACATGAACTATTGAACAAAAAGAAAAAAGTTATTTTTTATTGTGCAATTAAGTTTTTCCATCATATTAACTAATTTCAAACCATATGAGAGACACGTGGGGCTATTAAAACAGCAAAACATGTATTGAAAACCTTAAACACATAATTATGTTGTTATTTTATTATTCTATGTGTCTCCTATATGCATTCAAGGTGGCCTGAAGTTGATCTACGAGACAATATATATATATATATATATAGACCCAAATTAGAAAGAAAAAAGTTTAATAACTTTTTTTATTAAGTAATAATTGAGGATATTTTATAACTAATTAGCTTTTAGAAAAAAAAAACACCATTATACCTCTGATAAAAAATATTGTTTTTCTTTTTTAACAAAAATAGATTGAGAAATAAGTTGAGTATATATCATATAATAAAATTATAACTTTGATGCTCATTAAAAAACCACTAAAAACTATTCATTAAACTATTCACACACTTACAAAATACTATTTATTTATTGTTCACTTAGACTCATCTACACTATACAATGATATTTTGTAATTTTTTTTTGTTGTATTGAGACATTTATATCCGGATTTTTTTTTATATTACACTTTGGTTCTTGATTTTCAAAAATTTTATTTTGGTATTTAGGTTTATTTATATCGCATGTGCTCGGATTGAAATGCTTTTAAATTTTTTTTCTTTTGTTTTATTATGCATTTAACATTTATAGGTATTTAGAAAATTCTAATTGGTTATATGGTACTCGAACTATTGAACAAAAAGAAATAAGTTATTCTTTTTATTGTGTAAATTAAGTTTTTCCATCCGATTAACCGATTATCTAATTTCAAATGACATGAGAAACACATAGAGTTATTAAAACAACAACACATGTATTGACAACCTTAAACACATAATACATGTTGTTATTTTATTGTTCTATCTGTCTCTTACTAGCATTCAATGTGGCTTGAAGTTGATCAACGAGATGAAAAAACTTATATATTTATATATTGGAGACCCAAATTGACTCATTTGCACTATACAATGATATTTTTGTAATTTTTTTTTTTTTGTTGTATTGAGACATTTATATCTAGAATTTTTTTGATGTTACATTTTGGTTATTTTCAAAAATTTTATTTTGTATTTTAGGTTTATTTATGTTACAATTTGATCCTTAAATACATAGAGAGGAGAGAGCAAGCCACAATCGGCTCTAATTTTGGCTTCTTTTATGGTTGATATTTTTTTATCTTCGGACGATATGAGAGACACGTGAGTCTATTAAAACAACAACACTCGTATTGAAAACCTTAAACACATAATACATGTTGTTATTTTATTATTCTATGTGCCTCTTACGTGCATTCAATGTGGCTCAAAGTTGATCAACAAGACAATATATATATATATATTGGAGACCCAAATTAGAAAAAAAAAGTTTAATAACTTTTTTTATTAAGTAATAATTAAGGATGTTTTATAACTAATTAGCTTTTAGAAAAAAACAACATTATACCTCGGATAAAAAACCATTATACCTCGGATAAAAAATATTGTTTTTCTTGTTTTACAAAAATAGATTTAGCAATAAGTTGAGTGTGTATCATATAATAAAATTATAACTTTGACGCTCATTAAAAAAGCACTAAAACTATTCATTACACTATTCACATACTTACAAAATACTATTTATTTATTGTTCACTTAGACTTGTCTACGCTATACAATGATATTTTGTAATTTTTTTTATTTTTTATTTTTTTTTGTATTGAGACATTTATATGTC